TTGTTTCTTTTCTTAGCTCCACCACTTTCTGATGACTGATTTATTTATTTTCTTTCTTTCTCTCTCTCTCTCTCTCTCTCTCTCTCTCTCTCTCTTTCTTTCTTTCTTTCTGTGGCAGTTCTGTGACTTTATTTCCAAGTTAGTTCTCATCCACATTCACTGTCTGGAGACTTTTGAACATGGTAACAGGGACGTAGGTGACCAAGGTATGCAGCTTGTTTGGTGACTCTTCATCCTCATTCGGTTTCTTGGACAACCGTACCTGGATACGAGATCAAACGTTCCTTATTCCTTTGGCCGAGACAGCTTCATTGAGCCTGGCGTCGAGGTGCGTGTGTCTGGAGTCCCCATCTCCTTCATGGCAAACTTCTGGCTCTCCTTAAGTGCCCGAGGGGCGAGCTTCTTGAAGCCCACTCCGTGGATGCGCTTGTGAATGTTGATTGTGTATTCTCGGGTCACCACCTCGTTGATGGCAGAATGGCCCTTCTTCTCGCCACCCTCCTTTGCGGGAGCCATTCTGCTGGGCCCAAGTTGGAAAGGAAGAGTGCAATGGATTGTGGGATGGAAGGATGCAGTTGCAAGTCTGATGACTGATTTCTAGCCTGTGCAAAAAGGAAGAATTGGAAAGTAACTCCGTGGGTCACTCCACTCAGTCCTTCTGAGAATGTTGTTCTCTGCTGGCCTTGCTCAGGCTGTACTGGCCCGCCATCCTACAAGCTTTTGGTGTGCTCCAGAGTAAGATGCTCATGTCATTCTTTCCCCCTTAGCACTCAGTATGCAGGTTGTTATCCAGCGCTCAGTGCATAAACCCTAAGTATACGATTCTGAGTTTTGATAAGTCTGGGTATCTTGTGTAATCCAAGTACTTGTGAAAATAAAACAAAAACATTCTCATGTCCTCTCCTAACTTATCTCTACTCCCTGCTTTCCAGAGGCAACCGGATTCTTTTCTTCCCTAGCTTAATTTTGTATACACATGTGTAGTACATGATGTGTACATTTCTCGTGCCGAGTTAGTGCATGCATACAACACACCTTCATTCCTTTTGTTGTCCCCTCCCCTCCTCTTCCTCCGTCTCTTGATCCTTTTCACTTTGAGAAAGATCTGCATCCCTACTTGGTCTTCTCTATGGTATTAGCTTAGTTTAATTTGACCATTTTAGAACTTCAGATATTTTCACTTCTCAAGTAAATAACTACGGATGAAATTTCTGACTCCTAGGGTATTTGTGTATTTAGTTTCGTAATAGAGTGCCAGACCTTTCTCCAAAGTGACTATTCCATTTGCACCTCTGCCAACAAAGTAGGACACTCTGGTTGTTCCCTATCCTCACCAGGCTTTGGTGTTGTGAGTCTTTCTAATGGAAGCCATTAATTGGTAAGTGGGTGATGGTGTCTATTGTGGTTTTAACTTGCCTGTGGCCTGGGGACCCAGGATGGCCTTTTCCTGGGTCCCTGATTTCCCCTTGATCTCAGAGGCATTAGTTTAGGGAGTGGGTGGCACTAGCTAGTGAAAATCTTATGGGGTTGTAAAACTTCCTATGGGCCTTTTTCCCTTTAAGTTGTGTATGGCACCAAAAATGCTAGACAGCGCGGTGCACTTGGGAGGTTGTGGCTGCAGCAGGGTGCTGGGAGCCTGCATTTGGCAAGGCAAGGCATCCACCTTCCTGGGTGGAGTAGCACATGTGTGTGCATGTGTGCATGTATGTGTGTATATATGCATGCATGTGTGTGTGTACGTGCATGCATGCGTGCATGGATGTGTGTATGTGTGCCCATGGATGCATCCAGCTCACAGACTTCTGAGGAGCTCAATGAGTCAGCAGCTGGAGCCTTGCACCCAGCCCCATGTCACAGCATTATCAGAGACTTGAGGAAACTGGATAGAGTTCAGAGAGGAGCAGCGAGTATGATTAAAGGGCTTGGAGGGATTAAGGGGTTGATTTATGAGGAAAGATGAAAAGAACTTAATGTGCGCTGCTTGACTAAGTGGGTCCGTGATAGCAGCCTGCAAACATCCGAAGGGCATGAGCAGCAGAGGGGGAGAGGGTGAGCACAGGGTGCGAGGACTGAGCCAAGAGTAATGGGGACTACAGGGGGGGCCATGAGGGTGGGCGCCCAGGCATGGTACACGCATATAACACATGGAGGGGCGCAGCCTTCTACCATCCTCTCCCTTTCATGAGCCCAGAGTGTGGTGGTCTGATTAGTGGCCTGTGAGCTGGGGATGCTGCTGTGGGCTCCCCCTGGAAGCAGGTGGTGGTGGGAGAACGCGTGAGTGTTGACCGCCTGCAGGATCCTTGTGAGCCTGGTTGGGAAGGAGGGTGCAGGAAGGGGTGGTGCCACGAGGCCACAAAAGCGCTCCCCTCCATCTCCCTGTCTCTGCAAGCTTCTTTGGATCCATGAGAGAGGCATAGAATTATTTAGTTATTTTGGGCTCTTTGAGACAGGATTTCACTCCGCAGCCCAGGCTGGCCTCAGGCTTGTGGCGATCTTCCTGCCCCAGGCCCCCCTTCCTCCCCCAGGTGCTAGGCTTATGGGTGTACACCGCCATGCCCAGCATTTGGGTTCTTGCTTCCTGGCTTACTGGAGCTGGGCAGTTTCTACCCCACTCGTTCTTCACTTTCCCAGTTTTCTTTCCAGCCTCCCCCACCCCCACCGGTCAGGTACAGCTAGTCTTTACTTATCCAGGCAATTTATCTCTCTCTGTGTGTGCATCTCATCCAGGGCTATGGGTTTGACTTTTGGAGGCTCTGTGTGGACAGCATAGAGGTTGCAAAAGGAAGCCAGGCTGCCCTGGGGCAGCATTTGGCCACTGCCTTCTCAGTTGAGTGCAGAGGGCAAGTCAATCACTCCTTTCTGGGCCTTGATGTTCTTTTCTGTGAAAAGGAGGTTAATGGCCCATTGCATCAAAGAATTGTCATAAAGTTCCCTTGAAATGCTGCCTATGCTGTGCTGAGTGTAGTGCTGGGCAGAAAGTAAACACACAGTAAATGCTGGCTGCCACTGCCATTCATACTACAGTCGTGACACTGGGGACTGCTGTTATGCTGGTCCTGTAACTGGGGCCTGGAGCCTTCCCAGCAGAGGCTTCAGAGTGGACCTCAGCATTGAGCAGTGAGATGCTCAGAATACCCCTGGGGTATTGGGAGGGAGGAGCGCTTTCATTCTAGGAGGAGATGGGGCAGTTAGACTTTCTCCCCTGAGGGGCCCCGGGGTTCCCAGAGGCAACTTGCAGTCAAAGCCAAGGGCTGGAGGGACACCAGGAGGTCAGATGTTGGGGGAAGCAGAAACTTGGGTGCGCCCTGTCCCAGGGAGCCTGGTTTCAGGGCCAGACAGTGGAGCCAAGAGTTAGAAAACCTAGGTTAACTTCTATTTTCCAACCTCCACTTGCCTCAGTGTTTCAGAAAAAGAGGAGGGGATTAGTGCTTTAAGAACTGTTCCCTGGGGTTAACTACCTGCTCAGGCCCCCCTCCTGTCCCTCTCTTGGACAGGAGCTTTCTTTCTCTCAATAAATAAATTCTGCTCATAAAAAAATAAGAACTGTTCCCTGTCGAACTATAGAACCCCTTAGTTTAATGATGTGTTCTGTGAAAGTTTAATAACTATATAAAATAGCCCCACACTGCTTCTGAATGGGCAGGAGGCTGGAGACTGCCCCGACTCATCCTTCTTTGTCCTTCAGGAGAGTTTTCTGGTGACTGCAGGGAGCACTGTTGATACACAACACACCATGGAGCCCTTCAAGATGGTAACGGCTGTGCTGGGTAAGCTGAGGTAGATTGTGGGCTCACCTTGGCTAAACGGTTTACCTCAGCTCTCTAGTTAACATTCTCACAATATTATCAGTAGCCATAGTGCATCAATCTCCCTGTTCTGCAGGTAAAAAAACGGAGGTAGGGAGGTTCCAGAAAGGTCTCATGGCTGAGATGTGAGCCGTGATCTCTGAGCCCATTCAGTTCTGGGATAGTCAGAAGCAGTTTTTCCTGCAGGTTTTCAAATGATCTGGTAAATACCTGGCAATGGATTGATTCATTTGGATTGCCTGTGAGTCAATCGGTTCATTTGGATTAATTCCCACAGGTCTAGAAATGAGATCGTGCTACCTGCTAGCAGGCTCCAGGGCAGATTCTCTGGGCGCATCTCTGTCCATTTTTCCCTTCCAGTCCCCAGCATAGGTGTCCTGTGCTCCTTACCCTCTCAGGAACACAACCCAGCTTTTTCACCAGCCAAGATATGCTTTAGGAAAATACGTTTTCTGGAGGCTGTTCCAGAGACTCAGGGCTGTGGCTCTGGCTTTTTTTTTTTTTTTTTTTTTTGGCAGAACCGGGGTTTGAACTCAGGCCCTTGCACTTGCCAGAGAAGCACTTATTCCACTGAGCCATCTCCCCAGCCTATGTTTAAAACTCTTATACTTACCACTGTGTCCGATTTTTTTTTTTTTTTTTTTTGCCTTTTTCCTTTCACATCCACTCTGAAAAGCATAAAGACTTAATAGAATTTAAGGGGAAAATGTATTCTTAGAGTGGAAAACTAATATTAACAAATGTAGGAGACTTACAATATAAATGAACATTATATTATTGCAAAGTTTTTATAAGCAAACTTCATGTTCTTGATCAGTTGTTTAAAGTCTTAGAGTATGAACCAGTGTGTATTGTGTTCATGCTCACAGAAGTGGAGGAGAATCCGCAGTCAGAGAGCGCCCCTGCAGCAGACCCGGGCCAACTCTCGGTGGGACAGCAGCCAGTCCTCCGGAGTAGCAGCACCTCCGACATCCCTGAGCCACGGGCCCCGGATGCATCTCAGGGTACCAGGGTCTTCACTTGATGGGGTGGAGCTGCGGGATGGGGCTGGAGATGAGGTTGCCTTCTACAATGTTTATTCTACATAGGTTTATTTCAAAGGAATTATTTTTTAATTTGGCTTCAAGGATGTGATGACTAGCAATGAAATGTTTTAATATAGTTATCTAAATTGTGTGTGTGCATGTGTGTTTGTATGCACACCAGTCATTTTTTCCTCAAGTTTTGGTGGTTGAGCTCTATAAGGAAGCCAGATGGTAGAGTAGGAGTGAGGCAGACAATCTTCCTTGCAAGGTCAGATGAAGCAGCAAATGAAGTAGAAGGCAGGGAGGCAGTGTGCGGGAAGGGAGAACAGGCTGTGAACAGAGCCCGAGACGCTGGAAGCGAGAGTGACAAGCTGAGCAGGCCTATGAAAAGTGCACTAACAGCTTGCAGACTCTGCCGAAGTTGAAAATAATCACTTACTACTGGGGGGCACAAGGGATTGCTCTCAGGGCATTGTACATGTGAGGCAAGAGCTCTACCACCGAGCTACATCCCTAGGCCTTGTTATTTTTTTTATTTTCTGTTTTAAGACAGAGACTCGCTAAGTTGCCCAAGCTGGCCTTGGAACTTTCGATCCTCCTGCCTCAGCCACCCATGTAGCTGGGATTACAGGCATGCGCCACAGCACCAGGCAAAAACAAACACAACTTTTAATAGCATTTACAGCTTCTGCAACAACTTTGAGCAACAACAGAGTTTGGAAAGCCAAGAGGCAGATGGTAAATAGTGAGCGCATAGCGTATTTTACAGTGAAGCATGTGTTTACAGCGTGTCTAGGATCCTAAGTACTTACGATTCAATTTCAGTGTCATGAGTTAATGGAGAAATAAGCCTACCTTGTTTATTTCATATTTCTTAATCATTTCTTAAAGGTTATCTCATATTTCTTAATATCAAGTTTATGTTAGTCCATCAATAGAGCAGTGAAGTTTTCTTTCTTAGGTATCTTTTTGAAATAAAAAAAGTACAATAAAAAAACACTTGAGAAAATGTATTACCTGAAAGACTTTTTACTCTTTGTATAAGATGCTGCTGCTTATTATTATTATGGCAGGGGCTTTAGCTCAGTGATGGGGCATTTGCTATATTTATAAACTTTTTTCCTATTTTTACCTTATGATGCATTCCTTCTGTCAATTTTTCCCCTGAATCTCTAGGTCAAAAGGTAGAAATACCACAGAATTTGACTTCTTCAGAACCCAAGCCTACTCAAGAGAATAAAGGCCAGGTGAAGAGAGAACATGAAGGAATAACAGTAAGATTTCTACACATTATCCATTTATCATTAAAAATAAACAGTTTACTGTACAATAAACAAATTCACTGGTGGCAGTGACATTTAAAAATTTCTTTCTCCATTTAGTTGGATTATAGGCCCATAGATTTTGTTTGCTTTCTATGTAAAATTGTAGTCATGCTATAAACAAAAAAGTCAAGAGTAAGTGCAATTCACACCTTGGTGTATATGTAGCTCTGGTATGTGTTCAGGTTGGTTTCCTTGCCTGTACAGCACGCTTTTCATGTTCCTTACTCCTGACACTGATTGACATAATAGCTGCCACTGGGCGTGAGTTACTAGATAAGCAAACATTACAAAGCTCTCTTGTGCTTACTTTCGTTAAAAAGTGTTTGTTTAAAAACAAATCCAAAGAAGAAGATTAAAATAAGTAGCTAGCCTCTATTTATTCATTTGTTTAAAATGTATTTTATATTTGTAGAAAACATAAATGTCAAATAAGGATACAAAATAAAAAGAGAAGGCCTCTCCCTACCTCCTTGTTTGAAAGATAACAAACATTAAGTTTGTTTCTTTATGTTTATAAAGGCTTATACCACTTTCCCTGTATATATTCTGTTTTTCAACAATGAAATAAATACCCACAAACTGGTCACCTAGCTTAAGGGTCACAATATTTCCCGTGCTGCTTCTTTGGCCTCTAGCTTTCTTCCTTGTCCCCTCCCTGTCACCTCCCCTCAGAGAGTGACATTGCCTTGGCGGTGTATGTGCCTGTCCCTCATTTTGCTCTACACTTCATTATTTCTGCATCTCCAAACAATATGTTCTGTTCCCCCTTCTTTTGGACTTTTTAGGAAGGCATTCTATGCTGGCCCATTACTGTGTTCACTCGGGGTTTATCCCTGTGTCACGTGGCAGTAACTCATCACATTTTCTCTCATGTGTAATACTCTGTTGTGAATATGTGCATTCAATTTACCTTTCCATTCTTTTATTGATGGGCAGATTTATGTGTCTCAAGATCTACATGTCTAAGGTTTTCCCTGGTTGGCCACGTAGGAATGGGATTAGTAAATTCTACAATAAAAGAATGTTCTTTTCAAGATACCTGTTTTCCAGAGTGGTTGTTCTGCTTCCATTTCTGCCAGTGAGAATTTCCATTCATCCACATTCTTACCAACACTTCTGTTGTCAGATTTTTAGTTTATATGGAGCAAGTAGGTGAAAATAGGCTCTCTTATCTGCCTTTCTCAGATTACTAAGCAGGTATACTATTTGTCCTCGTTGACTGGTCATTTGTGTTTATCTGTGGAATACCTACTGATGCTGTTTGTTGTTTACTGCTGATTTATCTTTTTCTTTTTATTTATTCTAGATCTTTGTAGTCTGAATGCTGATCCTGATGTTATCTTAGTTATGTTTGTAGAAAACAACTTCCAGTACATTGCTTATATTTTCATTCTTTTTATGGTGTTTTTTGATGAACAGAAATTCTTAATTTTGATATTCTGTATTAACACTTTTGTGGTTAGAGCCTTATGGAATTTTAAAAAATCTCAACTATGCAGGAATAGCAATATTACCTTAAATTTACTCTATAAGTGTTTCCATTTTGCTTTACACTTTAAGTCTTTCATCTGCCTGGAACTGATTCTTGTTTATGGAAGGAGGTAGGAGTCCAATCTCATTTTCTCTCTTATAGGTCACTGTTTGTCCCAGGTCTCATTTTTGAAATCATTTCTCATTTATTGATCTGTCTCTCATGTGTGCCATTCTATGATGTACAAGCCTTTATTTTGGTACTTCCTGCCTCGATTCATTGTCTGTTGTCTCTCTGGACAGTGCCTGTCCTCTTAGTTACTGCCCATCTCCTACTTCTTTCTCCCTTCCTACTCCTTTTGATGCAACCCTTTCTCCCCTAACGCTTTTTGTCTTTCACTGATGTTGACAGGAAGCCTCTGTCCACCTCTCTAGATGTTCTTGCTGTTCTTGTCCTTACCCTTCAGATTGTGTCCTTATTTAGCAGCAGGTTCCTTTCAGTTTATTCTTCTGCCCTCTTTGGTGTGTGCTACATGCCACCGGCCCATAGATGTCAGTCTCTGCCACTTTGGAAATATCCTTGGCAACATTTCTTCAAAAATTGCCCAGCTTTAAAATGTACTCTGTTGTGGAGGATTTTTTTTTTTTTTCAAGTATACCTTGTGATTTCTGTTCTCTTGTGAATCTCATCTTTTTTTTTTTTTTCTTTAAAATGTTTACAATCTGTGGGTCTAAATTTAAGTGCTATCTGAAATCCTTGAGCCCCACCTCCAGCCTTTGCTGTTTCTGGCTCTTATGCCTGCTAATCTACACGTTGGGTTTCAGTGGTGTCTGTGAGTTCCTAGTTGGGGGACCTTACTCTGCAGAACACCTGGCTGTCTAAGTTGGGGGAAGTTTACCAGCATAGTACCTGCATTCGTGTCTCCTGTGAGCCGGTGAATTTGACTTTATGCCTGGCACCTTGGTACTTTTGCCAGTTGCAGTGGGAATACAGGATTTCTCTTATGATAGCTCCACGTCCTAGCCCTGTTTTCTGTTGATGTCTGGGGGGCCTGAGGATATCTCAAAGGTTTACTTCCAGTGAGGCCCAATGTGCAACCAAAGTTTTTATGTAGGGTCTGATTCCACAGTTGGAGCATGTTTTGGCTCATGCACCCTGAAGCTCAAGAGGTACATTCTGCTTTTCAATTGAAGAAATATCCTGGGTATATGGCTGCATAGCATTTGCATTGCCTAACATACATCTTTGAAAGTGTACTATGATTTTTCATATAGTCTCCTAAATTTTTTTGTGTCCTGCTTCTCTTTAGCTTAGTAGTTATTCTTTTTCTTAATTATACATCTTGGTCCCCCCTTTTTATTTGTTCACTATTCAACATTTTAATTGGCTTATGGAATTATAGGTTTTTTTAAAAGATTTATTTAGAGGCTGGGGAGATAGTTCAGTGGAATAAGCACTTCCCTGGCGAGCGTAAGGGCCTGAGTTCAATCCCTGGTTCCACAAAACCCCCCCCCCAAAAAAAAAAAAAAGATTTATTTATTTACTTGTTTATTTGATACCGGGTCTCATTATACAGTTTGGACTCATATTTTACTTCCAGTGAGGCCCAATGTGCAACCAAAGTTTTTATGTAGGGTCTGATTCCACAGTTGGAGCATGTTTTAGCTCATGCACCCTGAAACTCAAGAGGTACATTCTACTTTTCAATTGAAGAAATATCCTGGGTATCCTCCTCTATCAGCCTCCCCAGTGCTGGGATTGTAGGCATGTACCACCACATTCTGGTTTACTTATTTATTTATTTATTTTTGTCTTTTAATGTATTCTGTTGTGGCGGGTTTTAAATTTACATTTTCATTCCTGGATTTATTTTCTATCTCACAGTACTGGATATTTATACCCCCCCCCCCAATGTTCAGCCCAAAGATAAAAATTAAAATATCAGAAACTTTCTCAGGTTCTTCTCCTCATTCTTTCCTTCCTTCCTCCTTCCTTCCCTTTCTTCCTCTCCCCCTTTGTTACAGTCATTCCCTTTGCTTTCTAGATTTATGCCTTACTGTCATTTGATTTTTTTCAATCCACGTTCACCTGATTATAAACTCCAGCCTGTCATTCTGCAGCTTCTCTCGTTTCTCTTCTCCTTTTCCACCATCAGAAACCCACTGTCTCATTCCTGAATCCCATGAGATTCCATAGCAGTTTTCTTCTTCGCCCTCCCACAGAAAACAACTAGCCTCATCTTTCTAGTTATGATTTAACTGAACTGTTGTCTGGAACATATAGTTGCTTGTTTGTCAATATTAGGTGGAAAGTCCTAAATCTCATGTCGAAGGCCTGCCAGCAGCTGTCCCTTTTGGAAGGTCCGAGTTCCTTCTTGTCTTTTTCCCTCTGCACCTGGCTGCCCTGCATGGCCTGCTGCAGTCTGCTGCTTTTCCTGCACGTAGAACTTGCTGATTGCTACTACTCCGCTTCCTGCCTTGAGTCCCCTCCTGCCCTCCCTCTGCCACTTCATGTCTATTGCCTCCTTGAACAGTTCTTCTGTAACTGTCAGCCAATTAAGGTAACACTTTATTTTGCATACCTTTCAGAGAGAATTTATTTGCATATTTTGCTTGTGTACATTATAATTTTGTATAATTTGTGTATATTTTGTCTTTGCGAACAAATTGTGGGTGTTTGTGAGGATGCAGATTGCCTCCCAATTTCTTAGTCCTCAGCTTTTAGCAGAAGTAAAGCAGTGTTCAGTGTTAGACCACATGTAGCACATTAGCCAGGAGACACTGTGTGGGCCTTGGGCAGAGTCGGGGGCGGCTGTGCTTTTCCTGCTTGGGCACTTGAGGGTAGCTTAGGTTTGATGGAGAATTATGCTTACACCACATGTCTTCTTGACCAGAAAAACAAACAGAACTTTAAAATAAATTATTTCCATATAATTTGATATCCTTTCTATTAGGTTGTTTAGTTGGATATCAATGGACAAGTAGAGGATATAAATGAAAGTTTCAGATCTTGAGTAATTTATAATTCAATTCTAGTAATTTGTGAATACATATCCTTCAAATGGAAAACATTTAAATGTTATATTGTTATTATTATTGTTTATTTTCCTTTAGAAATGTGAGTAGGGATTTTATAGTCTTGTAAAAATGTTAACTTTCTTATAATGTATGCCATGTTTCTTTTTGCCTGAAGATTTTAGTTCGAAGAAGCAGCAGCCCTGCTGAATTGGATCTGCAGGATGATTTGCAGCAGGCACAAGGAAAGTGTAGGGAAAGACAGAAAAGTAAGTTCGAGGAAGTGCAGTTTGTGGTCTTCCAACTCCAAGTTCCTGATGTGTTTTGCGTCCTTTTTACTTTCTAACTCAAGTGATTCCTTATCAGTTAGAGATATATGGTTGTAAAATGGAATGTCTTTTTTCCTGGAACCCAAGCTGATGTAAGGTTAATCTAGTTTATAAAAATATTGTAGGCTGTTGCCTATACCTAAGAGGCCTGTTTTTTTACCCAAGGGTCTTTGTCCTGATTGGAGGCAGAGAGGGACTTAGGGACTGGGCAAGCAGACAGACCCAGCAGAGAAAACTATCACTCCAGAAAGTTCCTACAGGCCAGGAACACAGAGCTAAGGAAGTTCCTTCAAATCAAAGGCATAAATAAGTTAAAATGAAGTGTAGTTGGAATCCTGGAGCAGATTATAATATACCATCCTCGACATTCCTGAAGTCAGGCATGGCTTCCTCCTTCTCACAGTAGTGTGGTCATTCCTGGGGTGTAGAGTGCCCCCCTCATGTTCTACTTTCCCTCTATAGTTTAGAGCTACATGGAATGGGCATTTTAAGTCCTGCCGAGTGAATGGAGGGCAGCAGATCAGAAAGCAGGGCTGGGGGCAGCAGGTGCAGGGAGCAGGCAGAAGGAGCAGACACATAACACAGAGGACATGGATAGGGATACCCAGGAGCAGAAGGTTTGTTTTGTGTGCAATTCAACACAGCTATAGAAGTCTTAATGGCTAAGCATAGTTATATTAGGACAAATTAGAATGTTTTAGTGTTTAAATGAAAGAATTTCTGTTGTAGAAAATCTGTTGTAGCAGGAAATCTTCTCCCCAAATGACCAAGATGACTCACCATGTTTACTTTGTGTCTAATCATAGCAGGCTTGAAGCAGGCGGCATCTTTAGACTCTTTGTCAACAGTAAACTGGCATTTGTGGTGGAGCTGCTTATCCTATCTTCTTTCACCCACTCTCATTTTGTAGTGACTAAGTCCCAGTAGAAAACTTGGGGGCATGCTATAATCTTTGAGGCTTATGGGATAATTAGTGAGGATGCTGTGAAGAGAGCCCCACTCGAGTGGTTGTGGAGTGAGGAGTCACTCACACCCTTATTGCCTGCACGTTGTCTGAGTCTCACCGGGATGCTGCTTCCACCCTGTCTGGTTCTGTATGTTCTGCCCCAATCCTTGTTAACCCTCCTGTATCAGCTGTCAATGTTCAGCTACTTGCTGTCAGTAACTGTGACCTGCTGGCCACCAGCTGGCTGGTGTCAAATTGGCCCTTCTCCTGCGCAGGTGAAAGTGCCAGCGGTGACACAGCTCTGAGCTACGGCAGTGAGGCTGAGCTGCTGGTGACCCCATGGCAGGCATGTGAGGAGGACCCTGACCTGAGCACACCCATGGACACCGGGGTGGCTGACTCTGATGCCCGACAGTGGTTACAGCTGAGTTCCACTGATGTCTCAAACCTAACAGGTACCTGAGTGTTTAAAATAAGCACTGGTGTTTGCAGCTGGGAGGTCCCAGTGTTCTGGCTGGGATCTGTGCTGATGGGTGCTGGGGCAACCACCTGCTCTTGGTCTGTCTGGAGTTCTTGGGGTCTTCTGTAGAGAGGATTCTGAATCAGGGACCAGGTGTGGGGGGCAGCCAGCTAGGCTGTGACCTTGGCCCACTGAGGAAGGTGGCATATTTGTGCTATGACTCTGCTTTCCCTGACCATTTGCTCTACTCTACAAACAGAATGATTTTTTCAGCTTAGTTGTATATACGTCATAAATCTAGAATCCATCAAAGAGTTTGGATACCTTACTGATTAGTATTTCTAAAATTTTTATGATACTATTGGCTACATAAACATAAAGTGTGACATATATGTAGGTCATTTTACTGACAGCAGTAAAATGTACTGGTGACCATGACCTGACTTACAAAGCAAGACAACAGCCAGCCCAGTGAGGCTGCCCCAGGCCTTGATAAGGGGCTTCTTATCCTGGACCCCTCCCCACATTTGTGTTTACAGTAATGCCTTGATTCCTCTTTTTCACATCTCTCTTTGTCCTCAAACAATATATCGTTTAGTTCTGCTTCTTTTTTTGAAAAGAAAGATGTCATATTCTGTATTTTTTGTAACTTCTCCCTTGAGTATTACATTTGTAAAGATTCATGCTTGGACGACACAGCAAACTTTCTGAGTTTTTGCCCAGTCTCTATCAAGGTCCTCTGAATGGCTTTAGCTTGTCAACCTTTGTCCTTCACTGTTTAAGTTCATAGAGATGAAGAGGGCAGCCACCTTGTACGGTCCCTGAAGGAATGGATGTGCAGGCATGTGTGTGAGGCACACAGGACAGTGGGCACAACCACGACTAGACACACACACGCATGCACACACACACTCGGGTCCCTCGTGTGTGATGGGACTGATGAAAGTGAAGACAGAACAGAGGAGCTCAAGTCTGATTTGCTGTGTTACAGCAAGTGGAAGAGCCAGGTGTGTGGGCTGGGTGGACTATGACCACCTGCTTGGCTACTTTTCTGCTCATCCAGTATCTTGTATGGAAGCAGCAACAAACCAGAAGGCACGTGGTCAGTGAAAAGTGCTACTGAAATTTAAATGCTAAAGAGCACTTTAAGACCTTAAATAAAGGTCACAGCTTTATTTCAAATGGGTTTTTTAAAAAGGAAACTTTGTTTTTCACTGTGATATAAAATTTAACCTAAAAGCCTTCAGTATATCTATAATTTCTTGATAGTGTGACTTAAAACTTTATGAGGAACTGGACATGGTGGTGCATGCCTGTAATCCCAGCACTCAGGAGGTTGAGAAAGGAAGATTGTTGTGAGTTTGAGACCAGCCTGGGAGCTGCAAAAGTGAGCATAAGGCCACCCTGAACTGCATAAAGAGACCCTGTCTTAAAAAAAAAAAAAAAAAAAAAACCTTTATGAAGCTAAACTATCCAATGGTGTTGGATATTACCTTTATAGAAAATGATTTCAACTAATACTGTTGTCAATTTATATGGGATTTAGCAATTTATGAAGAATTTGAGGTACCCAGTTTGATTCAGTGTGGTAGGAAGGCCAAGTCTTACCATTTCTGTTTTAGAAATAGGGATATGAAGACCCTGAGAAATAATGTCATTGCTCTAGAAAATAAGTAGTAGGGTTGGAACTGGCTTCCAAAGTGTTTTGAGTGCTATATCTGTTCTATTCTACTGAATCATGGTTAAAATTACAACTGTACAGTTCTTTGAAGTACTTGGAATTATTAATACATTCATGGAACAAATAGCTTCTTTTAGTCCAGTGCACAGATTACCCAAGAGAAACTCATTGTTGTGATTCAACACAGAATCTTCGACAAGTTGGATACATTTAAGCATGAACCAAGTTTAATTATTTTTATTGAAAAGAAAGAAACTTCAGAGATTATTTCTTTTGTCTGTCTTTGGGGAAGATTACTTTTGACCCTATTTCAGAGACAGAGAATACATTGGACAGCTCAGTTTAATACACTCATGTAAGGTAATTCGGTATGGTGCACTCCATGTTGTGATTAAGTCCGCCAAATACTTAGTTCTTCTTTGAAATACTAATGTGGAGAGTCAGTCCACTCAGTTCAATAGTTCATCTCGTCATCTGTGAAAAGGACAAACTGTAATATGATAAGGTTTAAGGATTATCACAGCTCTGAATTTAACTTTCTGTTCTTAAGGGAGTGATTTCTTCATAACTGAACAAAATCAAACAAACTCCTGCCAGTCTGACCTTTAGGACACACAGAGAATGATCAAACAATTTGAGTTATAACCATTTTGCCTTGAATGACCCTAGTAATTATCAAATGTTTAGAAGAATAAACTGTTTCTAAGAATCTTAAATTCCTTGATCACCAGCTAGCTGTCTCCTTTTATGTTTGTTGCCTATTTAAATCATTTTGTGTTTGCTGAAAATAATAGTTAAAAGTATTGTGCATTGTTTTAATGCTCCTGGGATTCATTTTATTTATTTATTTATTTATTTATTTATTTATTTATTTATTTTTCGGAACCGGGGATTGAACTCAGATCCTTGTATTTGCCAGTCAAGCGCTTATCCTACTGAGCCATCTCCCCGGCCCTGGGATTCATTTTAATCGTATGTTAAAGAATGCAAACACAAAGTGGAAGTCACGAAGAAGACAGTTTAGACTTACAGGTCTCTGGAAGTGGACGCATGGGAATCACCTGTGTCCACCAGGAGGCAGAGGGAACAAAATGTGGCCTATGAGCTTTGTTGTCATTTATGCATGAAGAGTGAGGCGAGGCAAGACTGGCTGGTGGGAGTGATTTCAGGGGGCTGCAGAGCACAGGGCCTGGCTGTCCATAGTCGTCCCATACCTGGCCCTGGGGTGATAGGGTAGGACCACATGGACTTGATGTGTTTAGAGCTAGATAAAGGACATAGGTAGTGGGTATGTGTGACTACTGGCTGGTTTACATATAAAAATCATGCTTCCTCAGAGGTGTTGCTATCTCTAAGAATTTGCTAGTCCTGAAGAGGGTAGTGAATCCCTGATGAGCAGAACACCAGATGCCAGAGCATTGAGAACACAGAAGATACGGAAACACAGATCAGACATACATGAACTGAGGTCTGTTTAGGTAGTGATTTGGCGAAGAGGGATGTTAATGACCTGCAACAATTTAACAAATAAGCTTATGTATGATTCAGAAATACTGATTTAGAGGCTATTAGAAATAAAAGACGAGTTTAGGTCATAGCCACTGTTGTCTTAAGAGATTACCAGAAGGGCAAAAGACAAGACATTAGGGAGATAGATAGCTCAGCAGCATAAGCACCTGCCTGGCAAGTGCAAGGTCCCAAGTTTGATACCCAGTACCACAAAAAAAAATAAATACATAAAAATAAAAAATTAAGATATATTATGTACTTTTACCAACTGATAAGGAATGTAATCAGTGTATACTACAAACATCACCAACAAAAATAAATATATAAATGTTAAAGCATTTGTCAAACTGTGTGTGTGTATGCTTAAAAAAAAAAAGACATTTATCCTAATGGTCATAGACAATGTAATAAATGCTCTGAGATTTAAAGAAATCTATAATCCCATGGATAAATACACTAACAGTGGATTCTTGATACATGATAGAAATGGTTCTATAGACCTGGCAAGGAAAGAATGTGCTATTTAACAGATCCCTGTAGAACTAGTGTTTAGCCATTCAACTTTAAATAGAATCCTTACCTGAAACCATGTTCAAAGTCAAGCCCAGTGGAATAAAATTGTTAAATTTGAAAAGAAAACTTTAAAAACTTTTA